ACATGAAAAGAGAGCTCCATATCAGAGAAGCTCTTGTTCTGAAAGTTTCTGGTTCTGCATTTTCTGTGTTCATTTACTTTACTGCAAAAAACTTACAAAGGAGATCTTGGGCTCTCTTGCCAGCCTGAAGGAGTTAGAGCTTGGCCCTTTCTCAGAAGAGCTGAAGGAATTCCCAGATTTGAGTTCCACTTCCTCCCTTGAAGTCTTGCGTTTGGAAGGATCGGGGGAATCGCTAACTCTGCCACATCAAATTGATCGCCTCACTGCTCTCAGGAACTTAACTATCAAAAGCTTCAACGGAGTGGAAAAAGCTTTATTGGGAAACCTTTCTTGTCTTAAAACACTTGAAATTGAAAATTGTTGTCGGTTAAGGTGTCTATCAGGTGGGCTATCATCTGTTGAGGAGCTGGGGATAACAAATTGCCCTAATCTGGTCTCTTTCCAAGAAGAGTTGAAGGAATTGCCTTCTCTAACCATTGTCGGTTGTCCGAAATTTGTGGGCTTCCTAGGGGAGAGTCTCGGTTGCTTTACTAGGTTGAAGAGATTAACGATCGGCCCTTTCTCAGAAGAGCTAGAAGAATTCCCAAGTCTGAGTTCCATCCCCGCCTCCCTTGAATATTTGAGCCTGACGGGATGGGAAAAACTAACTCACCTCCCACAAATTCAACACCTCACTGCTCTAAAGGAGTTGCGTATATGGCACTTCGGTGGAATGGAATCTTTGCCAGACTGGTTTGACAACTTGTCCACCCTTCAACAACTTCATATTTGGTACTGCCCAAACAAGTTAAAGGAAAGATGCACCAAGGGAAGCGGTCCTGACTGGCACAAGATTTCTCACATTCCACACATCACAATAAATGGGGAGACCATCCAATTCCAATCCGAAGACTGAGGCAAAGAGGTTTGTGTTTCTTTTTGCTCACAACTGCACTTGTACAAATTCCCGACACCAAAAAGTAAAATCTCTCTCCTCATCCTCTATCAATTAATTGGATTGATGCTGCTCTCTCCATCACTGTTGGGTGCCGCCAATTAGTGTTATCTCGTCAAAATTATTTGTTCTTTCTCTCAAACCATATCTAAATTCATGTTTTCTTTTTTCTCACTTTTGATTCATATTCTTATACTGCATGTAGATGTGATTAATTATGAGTGAATAATCAATGAGTTGATGGAATGATGATTTCTAGAATTCTGAATTGAAATCCTGCAAGCTTCAACGTTGTGGTAATTAATTCATCACTCTTCACTTGATCAATTTAACTTATCTTACACATTTGAGGAGTGTGAGCACAAGCAGAATTTGATTCAATATGGAAATGAACTGCTGCATTTCTTGCTTTTTGAAATTACATTTGATATTCCAAAGATGGCATGGCAGGAGGAGAGGAAGGAAAGCAGCAGTGTTTGCCAAGCCAAAGACAATTCTGGTATGCTTACTAGAATTTTCTATGGGCTTAACATTTAAGCATTTTGGTTCTGCATTTTAGTATTAATCTTACCCACTTGGAAATTTGGATTGTGCAGTCTGTTCTTCAAGGGGCTCAGCTTTATTTAGTTAAGATTTGGGAGGATATTCAATGTCATTTCTTAATTGCTCTGCTAATTCTTTGAAAACCAACCAATTCAC